AAGTACCAAAATTCCACACCTCAGAAGAAAGTAAAGGAATAAAAAGTTACAATAAACCAAAATAATTGACAGAATGAGAGAATAATGAAAAGTAAAGTTATGCAGAGCAATGGTGAAGAAACATACTATAAATAAAGATTAAAATCCTAATAGGCTTAGCATTGTTAAAGTCCTTGGGAATAATGGGAAAATTTTTAAATGTTGAGGAATAAGTGAGGCTGTGAGGATACAGAGCAAAGGTTGAAAGCAGGGCTTGGGTTACAGGTTGAAACATAAATGAAGTACTGTATTTTCAGAAAAATGAAATAGTCCAGTAGCATCCATGCCATAGGAGGATCTTTTATACACAAGCACATATATAATGGTTTGAAAGCAGAGGTAAAGCCAAGCATGGTGTGGATACCTCTAATCCTAGCACTCTGAGACCCTGAGGCAGGAGGATCACAAGTTCAGTCCAAACTTAAGCAGTGTAACAATTTAGTGAGGCTCTATTTCAAATTTTATAAAGTAAAATTGGCTGAGATTATAGCTCAATATGAACATGCAAAGGCTCTGGATTCAGTTCCTAGCCAAGTACTTTAAACAGGAAGAAAGGGAGGAAGAAAGGGAAGAAAGAAGAAAGGGAGGGAGGGAGAGAGGAAGTGAAAAGGGAAGGAAGGAAAGAAGGAAGGAAAGAAAAGAAAACAAAAGAAATGAAAAGAAAAAGAGGTAGTAAAATACTAGGAAAGTGTCCCCATCCCCCACCCCCGGCCCTGTGCTCCATGAAGCATGGAAGCAGAATCCATGATCCTTTAAATTCAGGAAGGGCAGAAGGGAAGGAGAGTCAAAGAACAGGGAATACCGAGCAACAGAGTAATCTAAAGTTAAGAATTCAGGTACATAAGAATGTTTTTCCTGGTAAATCATTGAAAGCTATGGTGCAAAGCACTGATTTTTCAGAGAGTGGGTTTGGGAAGATTTAAAAGGCACTCACACAACTGACTGGTAGGAAACAAAAGCAGGAAAGCTAGAGCATGTTTACAATGACCTAAATCAGTAATTCTGAAGGTGTGGTCTGTGGATTTCTGGGGCATCCCTAAGACTCTATCAAGGGATAAAGATGAAACTATTGTAACAATAATCCTTCAAAATTTCATGGCTTTCTCACTGAAGTGAAATTTGAGATGATATGAAAGCAGTGGTTTTAGCAGGAACTGAAGCTGCAAGTCCCTAGGGCACTGCAGTCACTGTGTTCTCCATAGACTCAGAATCACAGATGGAAAAAGATAAAAACAAAAACTGGAAAGTTTTACTTGAAACCTGTCATCAATGGACCAGTAAAAATCAATAATTCCCTGAAATCATGACCCTCAAGTACAAGTCATTTTAATGCTCTGCTTGAGAAAATACACATAAGGCACTCCTGCCCCATTCCAAAATAGATTACTTGTCCCAAGGAAAAGCACATGTATGACTGAGTTGTAAACTGAACCAACCACTTTTTCCATGGAACACTATTTTTATTTGAAGAATGACTATATACATGATGGAATACTATTCATCCATAAAGAATGAAATCATGTCATTTAGAGGAAAATGGGTGGAACTTGAGACTATTATGTTAAGTAAAATAAGTCAGACACAAAATGAAATATTGCATAGTTTCTTTTATATGAGAAATTTAAAATACAAATAAGTAAACAAATAGTTAAAATTGAGGAAAGATGGTATGAAAAAAGCAGACTCTTTAAAGATGGGGAAAGATAACAAGGCTTTCTGGGTAGAAGGTTAAAGGGATTGAAAATGATCCTTATACATTTACCAATTTTCCCAGGGGCATATAAATATTATTGTAAACATGCACTCATTCAAAACTGACTCAAACATGAGCTACTATATCTGTCAGAAGTGTATAGTTAGTATATATTTCTAGGGAATGAGTGTATTACCTCAAAGAAAATTGAAAACATTTATTACCATGACAAAGTTCTATAAACAAATATTTATATGTTCTTTCAATGAAACTTTGGATGCTCCTTCTTGATGAGCTTCAAACAACTCTGTTTCATGCTCAGTATTTATGTCTCTATTTCTCATTAATAGCTGTTAATCATGTGTTCCATTAACAGCCACTCTCAAACATCTCAGGACCAAGCTATTAAAATAAGTGTAGGATAATGGCAATTATGTGTAGAACTAAAACCAATATATTTTGAAATTCATGGAAGTGAAGTGACTTTCAGCACTTTCTTGTGACCCATCTATGTAATGACCAAGTGTATCACTTTGGAACATTTTTGTGAAAAATGTTTTATGATACAGACTTGATACCAATGCTAAATCTAGACTGACAGATCATAAATTATTCTTGCTGCAAATAGAAAAAATGGTCTGAAAAAGAAACATCAACAAAAAGGTAAATATTCCTGTTACACAGATTATGCACCAAGCCTCAAGGAAATTAAAGTTTACATGGTTAGAATATCCAAGTTGTGTAAAAAAAAAACTTAGAATAGTAATAAAATGACTCATTTATAGTCTACCTGTGTTTATGGGAGATTTGAGCTTTCACAATAGGCTTCAGTCCACACTTGTAGGGAGTATGCAATTACAGAGAAAACTAAGAAATAACAGAAAGTTGAATTTGAGATCCTTTTACATACATATTGAATGGTATTCATTTACTATTTCTTTATAGCTCTTTTCTGAATTTCTCAAGATTAACTTATTTCACATATCTGAAAAAGAAATTAAATTTGTCCTGCATTTTTTCAAGTTGCATTTTGAACATATAAGAGATACCAATACCAATATAAATATATTAATGCTATTTAAGGGGTGACCTGCAGTGATCTCCAGAAAATTTTACATTCAGAATAGAGGGATAATAATTATCCTCAGTGAAACATGAGAAGAGCAATAAAAGGAAAATATTCATCTCAGTTGAGAATATATGGTTGAAGAATAAACCTCAAGTTCCTGGTAAAAGAACTATCATTCAGTGAGATAAAGTAATATATTCATAAAGCTAAGAAATTACACATCTATATTACAAAATGCCTTGGCTCCAAACCCAGGACTTTCTACATGTGCCTATTTGTCTTTCACATGCAGTAAGTGCAGACCTGTTCTGCATTGTCTTCAAGGAACTGAATGAATGGTGAAAAGATTTCATCTTAATGCAAGACAACTGATATATTAGTTCACAAGAGACTATATTTTAAAATATTTTTATTAGTCTCTAGGAAATGTTTGAAACATTTTATTGCTGAAATTACACCTTTAAATGTAACATGGATAAAAATAATACCAAGCATTGGCAAAATAATCTATGATTAATACAGTTTACCTATGAGTTATATGTTTTCAAGACAAATTTCTAAAGATAATTGTCAAATTGAGTGTTCCTTCTAAGCTTCCCTTTCCCTGTCCCCCAAGAGTACAGTTGACTTTCTACATCAAGATGGCAATATGTATTTTAAATATTTATGTTTTAAAAATAAAGATATGCATGAACACATACATGTCAAGGAATGAGAACTACTTCAGAATTAATATTAACTTCTTTAAAAACATGCTGTATTTACAAATTTGTTTCTAAAACAGAAGCATCTGTAAACTTAGAAATTAGACATAAAATTTTTAAATGTATCAGTGCTCCTCAAGAACCACTTCAACTCCAGATATACAGAGTCTGCCAAAAATCAAAATGTATACACACTTCAGGAGTTCACTGTACTAATAAATGTCTGGAAGCAAATCCCCACCACTTTGAGCAGCTCTTGTAATTGTAGAGGCCAAAGGTAACTTGTATTAATCTCATGATGGCTCAATAAATTTAGTTTCAAAATATTTATAAAAGTTTTTCTTTTCCTGAATTGTGTATACATTTTTTGGCAGACTCTGTATATGTAGTTCCTCCTACACTAGACAACAGACTAAAATGACACAAATTTAGTTTAATTTTCACAGCCTTCTTCCCAGAGGCTTGTGTCTATCTAGGAAGTCTGAAGATTAAAAGGACAAATAATTTCAACCAAGTGTATGGAGATTTAAGATATGGAGAGTTAATGTTATCTTTAGTTGGTTTTACTGGATGTGAAAATCTCCTAATTTCTGCCACCAGTTCTTGTGCTGTTTCTTACTAAGATAAGATCAGATACAAATAGAGCTTTTACTTTAAGATAAACTGGGGAAAGGGAACAGATTTCCTTTGCAAAGTTTATTTCTTTTTCTTTCCTTATTTATTTTTTCCAGAAAACGGATAACTCTTATTTCAAACAGGTTGTAGGGTTGATAATTTGAAAAACACTATTCTCTCTCTCTCTCTCTCTCTCTCTCTCTCTCTCTCTCTCTCTCTCTGAACTGAGGGAAAGAGGGCTACAGAAGAAGGGCTCCATGCCTCCAAGTAATTGCAACTCACAAGTGAAATGGAAGAAATTTGAGGCTGAAGGATTGTTAGGCTTGCATCAGGACAATGCCTTTCCTGGTTGATTATAAAGAAAAAACGGTGCTGGAAAAATGAGATAGTGTCAGCCCCCTTTGTACTGCTTTATTGCTTGCCAGGAAACTCTGCCTGTGTTTTTCCCCACCCCCTTTTCAACTTCCTTCCCCATTACCCCCCCACACACACACTCCCCGCCGCCAGATGTGTGGCACCTAGGAGTGAGAGCGAGAAATGGACTCCTTGAATTGCTTTGCGCAAAATCCACCGTTTCTCTCTCCTCCCTCCTCTCCAGACTCCGGATCCCGCACAGCCCTGTCTCCTCCCCTCCCAGCCGCGTGGGATTGGAAATGTGCCTCTGTGTACTATTAGGGTGAGAGAGGGCTACAAGCAGAAGACAATGTCAGATGCTCAGCTACCCCTCCTGCCGACGCTCCTCTCTGTTTCCGCCAGGGTTGGTCTCTGGAAGAAATAGCTGGAGCTGAGGCCGTGGCGAGCGGAAGCGGCTGAGGCGCGTGGAAGCCGAAAAGTCCAGCTCCTCTCTGTCACCGCGCATCGTGGTGCCCAGCAGGCCGTCAGCACCATGGACAGCAGTGTCCTGCCCGGGAACGCGGGCAATTGCACCGATCCCTTCGCGCAATCCAGTTGCTCCCTGGCACCTAGCCCCGGTTCCTGGACTAACTTGTCCCACTTAGATGGCAATCTGTCCGACCCATGCGGTCCGAACCGCACCGAGCTAGGGGGGAGCGACAGCCGGTGCCCTCCGACTGGGAGCCCCTCCATGATCACGGCTGTCACCATCATGGCCCTCTACTCCATCGTGTGCGTGGTGGGGCTCTTTGGAAACTTCCTGGTCATGTATGTGATCATCAGGTAAGGACGGAATGCGCCAGAGTTCAGCGGCTAACGAGGGTGAAAGAAGGACACTGTGCCAAAAACTGAGAGGAGGGCGGGTGCGAGGGAGATAACCCGGGCAGACCTGGAGGCAGGGGTGATAGTGGACAGATTATTGTTTGTGTTTGAAAAACTTATTTTACCATTTTCTCCTCCTTTGATAAAGAAAGAATCCAAAATTCCAAAAACAGAAGTTTCTTTGGTAAAAGCCATAGAGGTCTGGAAGTGGAGTGGAAAGCTGTATCTTAGAGCTTTGTCTCTTTTACTGAGTCAAGAAAGTGCCTGGTATCCTGCTACAGTGTCCTACACTTTGTCTGTCTGCACAAGCTATGGAGGCAATAAGTTGTGCATAAGAGAGGGGATTTGGGCTATTTTTCTCCAATTGAGGGCCTGCGCCTTCTCTTTGGAGAGATGATCCTTGTAACTTTCCTCCAACTACTGGTTTAGGCTGTACCATAACCCCACCCCTCCTCTTCCCTTGACATAGCAGCCTCTCCTCTACCCTTCCTTCCATCTCAAGGCCACATTAAGCAAAGGAACTTTTTCGGCTGTCTTCCATAGCAGTGTTACTTTTCAGAAGCAAATGTGTTCATTGTGTCTTCCGGAGAACTTTACAGTTGGTAGCTGCAGACCTTGGGGGTCAAACACTGCATCTGGAAAAGGTAGAGTGTTTCAGGGCATCTACCGGACAGAATAGTGTTGTAATGCCTTCAAAAGCTGGAATCAACTAAGAGTAACTAAAAGCAGTATAATTCTGTATTACAAGTTATTATATAGAAGTTTGTAACAGATTCTGGGGGAGAAGAGGGAGAGGGTCAGAGAGGAAGAGGAGAGACAGAGACAGGGAAAGGGAGAGGAGAGAGAGAGGGAGAGGGAGGGAGAGAGAGGGGAGAGAGGAGAGGGGAGACTTTATCTTTGAAAATTACTTCAGAGTTTTTGGTCCACTTTCTGTTTACCCAGATGTCCCAAGTGTATTTGACAGAGTGTTCAAGCTCTTAATTTTGCGATTGACAATGATTGTGTGACATTGATGGGAATACTCAAATACTATGTGTGAATGTGGAGTGCTACATATTCATTTTTATTAAAGTAGATAAATATTTTTGTACTTTAAAATGTCTCCTACTTTGAGTTTTTCTTCTCACTGGGAGTTATATGTTCATTGTGAACATGGCACTTTCGTATTTAGTTACAATATTTGCTTCATCTACTCAGCAAATATTCCAGGTTTTCATAGAGCTTTTGAACAATTTAAAAATCATTCTCCCTATTATGCTTTTATTACCAAAGTGCTGCAAGTTGCTTGTGATTGATTCTTTCTACTTTTATGTATGGTTTCTTTAATTAATGATTGTTAAAGAGTAAAGTTAATTTTCCTGATCTTTTGATGAAGACTAAGATCAGTAGCGTCTCTGAGAAAAGAGCACCATCTATTGTGAGGAAGGGTAACAACAGAAGGAAAAATACAGGAAGGAAATCAATGGAAGAATTTATATTTGAGAGCATTCACTTTCTGTAATTCAATACAAATATTTATTTCACAGATAAAAAACCAAATCTCATTCTGCAGCTATGACAATAAAATGCACAATTAAGAGGCCTGCCTTGTAAAGGGAAGATATATTTTTCATTCTTCCTGAAAAAACAGAAAATCACAAACTGACAGAAGTAGAAGGGGTCAAACATTATCTATGTTAGATGAATAAGCTGAAGCACAGAAAATGTAAATTATTTGTCTAAAAACAGATAGTTCATTAGTTCAGCATGATTGAATTTCTCTTATTTTTTTGTTCATTAAAGTGGTAAATCATGAATGAGTTCATTAAACTACGAGACTGACAAAGTCGGTTTTGTTTGCAGTAATAATGTGGGAATTTAAAAATTCCCCAAAATTTATACATGCTATCTTGGATTTTAAAAGAATGGCAGAAAAATCCAAAGCCTCTAGAAACCCTGCCTTCTGAAACAATTTTTTATTCCTTTTATTACTTCTCTTTAGTATTTTCATTCCTCATTTGTCTCCCTTTCAGTTTATATTTTTCTACAAAGAGAGAGTCAATAGAGCAGCAACCAGGAGAGAAAAAGCAGCCTGGTCCTGTCCCAATGTTTAAGAGGCTGTTGGTTGGATGAGTTTATTTTAAAGCCCTTACCTCCCACCCATTGTTCACTTGAAGAAGCATGGTGACATTACATCTCATTGAGAACATGATATTATGGTTTATTCTAGGTACTGAAAGTTCTGACAATGTGCAGTACTATTTGAAAGGTCAACCCAAACATCCACATGTGCAGGTCAGCTACTTAATTCCAAGGTCAAAGAACCCTCTAGGAATCTGACTGTGAAAGAGAAAAATGCAAAGCTCAGTGACAGATGAAGTGATGGGAAAAGCACCTGAGGATTGGAGAAACTATGTCTGTTTAGCTGGGGATTTGTAACTGGCTGTCTCCAAGCTGGAGTGATTTACCTTCAAAATAATCAGCTCAGGAATATTATTGCCCTGCTAAGGATATGGCCTAAGGCTTTGTCTATTAAATGATGAAAGAGAGGTGGTCACTTCTTGGTACTATTTAAAACTCCACAAATATATTGAATGGCCAAGAAATTACAGTTTTCTGGCCAGATGAACATAGTATTTATTATAATGTCTTAGTACACTGAGTGAATCATGAAGCTCAGATGGCAAGAACAAAGATGCCTGGTACCACAGATGCTATTTTCAATGCTTCCATACTCTGGGCCTCCTAACATCATTATCATCCTCATCATACCTTCATCAACATTGTTAAATAATAAAACCTAATTGAGATTCTTATGCAGTGCTTTTCTAGGGAATGAGAGGAAAAAAGAGATACTGCCATTATGATGTAAAGACTTAAAATCCAGCTGTTGAACAATGGAAATGTTATAAGCATCCATCTCTGGAAAATGTTTTTGATTGTAAAGGAAAAAGATGTTTTCAGGATAATAATATTATAAAAATCACCACAAAGATTCCAGAAAATATGACTGTAAACATATTGCAAAAGGGAGCGATTATTTAAAATGGGATGAGAACATATTGTTGTCAAGAATCTTAAAGAATAAAAATCAAAATAATGCATAAAGTTGTGATGTTTACAAGTTGAAAATACTTGACCAAGATGTCGAATGAATCATAACAATAAGAACTAGTAGAATTCAAAATGTGTTTGTTTTATGAGATTTCTTTTGTCTCCTCAAATTTGTTTACATAGCTAGTAGTATTCTATGTGCAGACACTTGAAAAATGGGAAACTAAAAGCTTTTAGATTCTTATGGGCTCTGTAAAGGACTGTTATAGTAAAGCTCCAGTCAAGACTGCCAAAGGAGGAGAGGGTGTGGCTCTGTGGAAGAGCACTTGTGTAGCCTTTGTAAGGGAATGGGTTTGGAAGAAAAGAATGCTAAGTGATATTATCTTCATTTCTAAGATTGTTTTTGATCTGATTGAATTCACAGTATGACTAAATATCAGAAAAGAGAATTAAAGGATATATATGATATTGTTGCCATTTTTCTTTCCTAAAACATATTTCTGATTTTAGCAAAAGGTTTGAGTTTATATTTGCACTATATTTTAAATTTTTTACTCAGATTTAAATTACAAATTGTTTAATTATGCATGACTGGAACAGAATTATAATTTTTAGACTTAATTCAGATTTACATAGATGAGAACAGGAATGATAATGTTTTCTCTAAAGATATATATATGTATGTATATAGAAATGTGTCTGCACATGTACACAAATAAATGCATATTTGAGTTCATCTAAAAATATCAACATGTTACTGAATATGGCCACTAGTAATGTTAATAAAATAAAAAGATAATAATATATTTATAAAAGTAATATGAAAGATGTTCACTTTTGTGTTTTAAGGCAAAAAACTATCCTAACTAGAGGATGAATTTTAAAGGGAACAAACTCCTAAATAATATTTTGTCCTTCACATAGTGGTTACATCAAAATATACCAAGTAAATTCCTCATATTTTACTTAGCGATGTACGCCTTCTGGTATCTCCTACACTTTTAATTTTGTTATTTCCCAAGAAGACGCTAATGCTGTAGGGAACACTTCTTTCTCTGTATCTCCTGAAAACACTGAACTTTTCTGGCCTGGAAGCTGCGACTGTCATCTGCATGGAATTATTCCTGAGTCTCTAAACACAACTCTCTCTCTTTGCTTCCTTGAAAACATGGACTATCTCATATTTTATAAAATGTTTCCAACTTAAATGAAAGTCTAATTGTATAATAATTTGCCTCTATTAAAAATTTTGTATTTTTGGAGCTGAGGACGTAGCTCAGTGGTAAATGCACAAGGCCCCAGGTTCAATCACTGCCCCCCCAAAAATCCATATAATTTTAATAATTTATGCATATAATTACTATTTATATTTTCACATGTATGTCTATATATGTATGTCCACATATACATATATCTGTAAGAGTTTAAGTCTCTTTTCTGTTCTCATTCTCTCCCTCCTTTGACACTACCACTATCATAAGTCTGGTGGTAATTATTTAGATATATATTTTAAAGTTTTTATTACATACGTGCATTTTCACAAACAAAATGTCTTCTTTCCATGTTCTTGTAACTTTTTATAATTAATATCACAGCATACACTAAAGTTAATAAACATAAACACTATGTACCACAAATTGTTCTAGTTTCATCAGATCAGTAATATAAACTAAATGTCAAATAAACAAACATAAAGACAAACAAATGAATAAACATTCTGCTTACTCTTTCCCCCGGACTCTTAACTGATCTCACTAAGCAAAAAAAAATGGTTTAGAAAGGTCCATTTGATTAGGTTTCATAGACTTTGTAGATTTGGTTCTCTTTTTAATTCAGTCATGTGTTAGCTTGGTATAAATTGGTGTCTAGTGTGTTTATGAGGTTATAACAGAATGCCATATCTGGCTGGTACAGATTTTCCTGGCAGA